CGAGTCCTTACCAATCCTGCAGGTCCTTGTAAGGACCGGTTAGGATTCGGTCCCAAAAGACCGATTAACATCCCTATCTACGTTTATGTATATCGATATAACTATTTTATTCAAAATTTGCAAACCTCACTACTTGTATTGATAGGTTAAGTTTAAAATACTTATTTCTAAGAGCAATACAAACCAAAAATAATGACGTAAAATAAAGATTATGAAGTTTTAAAAAAATAATTAATTATTTGTAAGACATTCGTTTTCTTATACTGGATTTCCACACCACATTATTTCTTCAATTTGTACACGCACATGTTAGTCAGGATAAATAAAAATTATGTTCTCTGATTGGTTATATTCTTTTTTTTTTATCACACACACAAATAAGTGCACGCGGCTGAGTCTATAAGTTATTTAGGAAAATGATTAGTTTTCACAAAGATTGATAATCATTCATTCTCGTGGTATTTGATTTTCTATAATTACAATAATATCTTTTATTTGTTTTCTATAATTATCTTCATTCATTTCATTTTTATGTACTTATTTTAATTGATAAAATGACAGCTGATTGTCGGGGGACCAAGTTGACATTGATTGTTTGGTACTGCTTATAATATATAATGCCCCTCAAAACCTAATTTTTGAATAATACTCTGAGTATATAAACGATTAATTTATTACTTTTCCGATATCTATCTTCAAATTTAGTACCCGTTCTATATAGTATATCTGATGTACTGTAAGTAGTGTTAAATAGTATTGTACCGACAATACTTTGTATATTAAACCGAAATTTAAAAAATATATACAGTATATATCATACTATTTAACAAACAACGGTAGGTACCGAACTCTTTTTCATATTTGTATACTTAATTGATCTACATAGTGCATACTATGGTATAAAAATACTGAGTCAATGCTAATGCAGGTATGTAATTAAGAGGAGATTATAAGCAATTCATCAGATGTCTACGCGCCATGACTAACCTTTTTAAGTTTGTTTAAATTATATTATAACAAATTATTTAAAATAAATTTTTTTGACACCTAAGATAAAAATAATATTTATTTTATAACTTATATATTTATTTGTTAAAAATGAACCGAGAAAATCCAATCGCTGTATGCAGTTCAAGAAAACCAGTAAGATTCATTCTTAATGAAAAAGTAACATAACTTTTAAACAATCTAATTTGACATCATTATTTATATTTACCTTATTCGGAAAAGATCATATTAAAAGAAATATTTTATAATTAATAAAAAAAAAATTTTTTTTAAACAAACAATTCAATTATTACATTTCGTGTTTGTTCTTAATTCTTTAATTGTAATACAAATTACATTAATGACGGAAAAACTACATATATCGTATTAAACAAATTTATAATTAACACGAGTGAGGAATATAAAAATATAACGCTATTATTGTTACAATTAAACCGTTTTTATATAAAATATAAGATATTTTTATTTTATAGAAATTATAAAGGAGACGAATTTAGAAGACTCAACTCGGAGGAAATAAAAAAACCCCCAAACGCCAACAATCATACTAAAATAAAATCTTGTGACATCAAAATACTTTACATTTGCAAGATTTTTTGTGGTACATAATTCAGCAACAAATTTATAATTAAACACGAAATTCAGCATGCTTTTTTTGCGACAGTACGTAATACATTCTAATATTGGACTGTTTCTCAATACGCCAGGTATAAACAAAAAAAACTATGTATATATTATGTAATGTTACCTTTCTACGTATTTATTTATATAACAATATCGATATTAAATTATTAATTCGTCATTATTGCGGAAATGGAATATTTTAATTGTTCAAACTTCCGGGTTTGGTAATGATGAAAAGTGAATTTTTTTTTTTTTTTATCAAGATGCTTTCATCAAGTTAAATTTGCTTCACTTTCCTTACATATAATTATATTATTATTATGAAAATATATTTTAAACATATCAGATATAGGATAATATACTTATTACATAATTTATATATAAAATTTAATTTAAAAATTGAAAAAAAAATATTCGGAACCGTATGCATATTCATTTACCCAAAAATTTACAACATTTATACGGTAGAAAAAAAAAAAAAAAACTGTATCATAAAACCAATGTTCGGTATGTGATTTTTAGTATATAATACCATTGTATTAAGGTATACTATTGATCTTTTGTTATTAATGAGTATATATGCGTTTATATTTTTCTGATGTATATGCGTAGTTATGAATACATGCGAAAATTATTCAACATATTCTACTTCCTCGATACATCCTTTTACATTTTATCAATCCTCATCCATATTAACATCCGAGCAGTCCAATGGTCCAACTCAACTTTATCAACCATCATTTAAGTCGTTCTCTCAACAAAGATTAAACAGTTTAAACTTTTCAAATTCAAAAAAATGTTTATTCTCAATAGTTCCTTCGGAAATTTTCATAGTTATATGTTCACATTTAACACCATGGGATCTAATATCACTCTCAAATACTTGTCGCAAATTTCATGATTATTTATGTTCAACAATATCTTTAACTACTCAATTAATCTGGAGAAAATCCAGACTGAATACCATATTCTTTCCTGATATACCTTCACCATCAGGAATTAATGAACGTGAATATTGTTGTTTATTAATGCTTGAAAAAGGTTGCCAATTTTGTGGACGAAAAGGTTATAGGGATGTACGAATTTATTGGACATTTCGGGTTAGATCATGTTGGGATTGTTTAATGAAGCGAACAGTGTGTGTTGAAAGGTAAGTGATTATTTAAGAGATTATTTTTTATGCGATTTTTTATAACTTATGTTTCTTAAATAATTAAATTATATTTTTATCTTTTATTTTTATTTTATTATTATTATTATTTATTTTTAATTTTAATAATAAATAGCGGAAATGAAATTCCTGAATATGCAAGTGGTTTACCATCTACAAAATTTCGAATAAATGGTATGTATGGATCCGAATATATAGTATTCTGGGCTGACTCCATCACTCGCGCAAAATATGAATTCGATAATCTTTCAAAGAATGAACGTACTGATTGGATAAAAAATTCAAAACAAAGAGCTAAAGAAATTGAATTTGATGCTATGTACCGTGAAAAACTTGATCAAAAATTATATGATTTATCAATGTATCATAAAAAATGTCAAATTCTTTTATATTATGAAATTTTGGCTTCAGAATCAAATTCCAATGGTAAAATACTTTATAATCGATATTTTTTAGATATGTGCCCTTCTTTAAATGATGTTATGTTATTACCGAATCATTTATTTGCGCGAATAGATTATGATAGTTGGAAAAATAAAATGTTGGAAGAATATCGAAATATTGAAATGGAACGAAGAATAATTCCAAAACGGTATAATCAAATTAAAGAAAGATTGGTCTTTTCACCCTTATATAAATGTCCAGCTATATATTGGATACAACATTGTCCTAGTTATAAATCACCACCATATCATAATAATGATGCAAGGATTCCATGGGATGAAACGTTTTTGGATAAAATACTTGTACCAAGGATTATGTCGGAAGCTACATTATGCGTTAAACAAGCCGATGAAACGATTCTTTTGATAAAATTTGTCGAGGATGTTTTATGTATGAGGATTAGAACTGTAAAAGATTCTTTGACATATGAGCTTGGTGACGGAAAAATTTTTAAATGTAACTTATGCATCAATTTGAATAATTGCTCGGATTTATATAATTATACAGAAGTCAAGCGACATATATATTCTGAACATTGTAATTTATATCAGAATTCATTTGCAGATTATGAGGAAATTTACGTAGAATTGGATTTAAAAATGGTACGAACTTTTTTGTTAACTTGTTTGAACCATTGGTTTTGGCATGGTATATATCCTTACAAATTACCGGATGATTTGTCAGCGATTTTAGCGAGTCGAAAGATGGTTTGGTGGAATTAATTTAATTTATTATTATTATTATTATTATTATTATTATTATTATTATTATTATTATTATATACGTATACCGGTAAAAGTAATATTTGCGATTGTATAAGCATATTTTAGAGAGTTCAAACATGCATAC